ACCATAGATGAGGGTGGGAACGTAGATCGATGGGTAAATTCAGAGCTTCGCCTTTTGACTCAGCTCTCTCTTCACCACGACAGATTTAGCTCAAAATCATGACTTAAACTGCTTCACTGCAGACACTGCACCTATCCGCCTACTGATCTCATGTTCCATTTTTCCCTCATTCGTGAACAAGACCCCAAGATACTTGAACTCCTCCACTTGGGGCAGGACCTCCTCCCTGACCTGGACAGGGCACTCTACCCTTTTCCGGCTCAAGACCATGGCCTCGGATTTGGAGGAACTGATCTTCATCCCGGTCGTGTCACACTCGGCTGCGAACTGCTCCAGCGAAAGCTGTAGATCACAACCTAATGAAGCCAATAGGACCACATCATCTGCAAAAAACAGAGAAGCAATCCTAAGGCCATCAAAACAGATCTCCTCAACACCTTGGCTGCACCTAGAAATTCTGTCCATAAAAGTTATGAACAGAATCGGTGACAAGGGGTAACCTTGGCGGAATCCAACTCTCACTGGGAACAAGCCCGATTTACTTCTGGCAATGCGGACCAAGCTCTGACACATGTTGTACAGGGACCTAACAGCCCATATCAAAGGGCCTGGTACCCCATACTCCCGGAGTACCCCCCACAGGGCTCCCTGAGGGACGCGGTCGAACGCCTTCTCCAAGTCCACAAAGCACATGTAGATTTGTTGGGCAAACTGCTGAGGGTGTAGAGCTGGTCCAGTGTTCCACGACTAGGACGAAAACCGCACTGCTCCTCCTGAATCTTAGGTTCAACTATCCGATGGACACTCCTCTCCAAAACCCCCGAATAAACCTTACCAGGGAGGCTTAAGAGCGTGATCCCCCTGTAGTTGGAACACACTCTACCATCCCCCTTTTTGAAGAGGGGACCACCACCCCAGTCTGCCAATCCAGGGGAACTGCCCCCGATGTCCACGTAATAATGCAGAGTCGTGTAAGCCAGCACAACCCCACAACATCCAGAGCCTTAAGGAACTCCGGGCGAATCTCATCCACCCCCGAGGCCCTGCCACCGAGGAGCTTTTTAACCACCTCGGTGACCTCAGCACCAGAGATTGGAGAGCCCGACCCAAGGTCCCCAGGCTCTGCTTCCTCAGTGGAAAATGTGCCAGTAGGATTGAGGAGGTCTTCGAAGTATTCTGCCCACCAACCCATGACATCCCGAGTTGAGGTCAGCAGCACACCTCCTCTACTATAAATAGTGTTAGTGGTGTACCACTTTCCACCCCGAGACGCTGGATGGTGGACCAGAATCACCTTGAAGCCGTACAGAAGTCATTCTCCATGGCCTCTCCGAACTCCTCCCACAACCGAGTTTTTGCCTCAGCAACCACCCGAGCAGCATGCCGCTTGGACTGTCAGTACCCATCAGCTGCTTCCAGGGTCCCACAGGCCAAAAATATCCAATAGGAGTACTTCTTCAGCCTGACAGCATCCCTTACCACCGGTGTCCACCACCGGGTTCGAGGGTTACCTCCGCAACAGGCACCGACAACTTTGCAGCCACAGCTCCGATAAGCCGCCTCGACAATAGAGGCACGGAACATGGCCCACTCGGACTCAATGTCCCCTGTCTCCCCCGGAATGTGTTCAAGCTCTCTTGGAGGTGGGAGTAAAAGCTCCGTCTCACGGGAGACTCTGCCAGACGTTCCAATACGATTGGGTCTGCCAGGTCTGATTGGCATCCTCTCCCAACATCGGGGCCAACTCACCACCAGGTAATGGTCAGTGGACAGCTCCGCTCCTCTCTTCACCTGACTGTCCAAGACATGTGGCCGCAGATCAGATGAGATGACAACAAAGTCGATCATCGAACTGCAGCTTAGGGTGTCCTGGTGCCAAGAGCACATATGGACACCCTTATGCTTGAACATGGTGTTCGTGATGGACAATCCATGACGAGCACAGAAGTCCGATAACAGAACACCACTCATGTTCAGATGAGGGGGGCCATTCCTCCTAACCACATCCCTCCAGGTCTCACTGTCATTGCCCACGTGAGTGTTGAAGTCCCCCACTAGAACAAGGGAGTTCCCAGGAGGTGCTCTCTCCAGTACCCCCTCCAAGAACTCCAAGAAGAGTGGGTAATCTGAGCTGCTGTTTGGCACATAAGCACAAACAACAGTCAGAACCCATCCCCCCCACACGTAGGTGGAGGGAGGCTACCCTCTCATTCACCGGGGTGAACCCCAAAGTATAGGCACCACGATGGGGCAATAAGTATGCCCACTCCTGCTCGGCGCCTCTCGCCAGGGGTAGCTCCAGAGTGGAAGAGAGTCCAACCCCTCTCAAGGAAACTGGTTCCAGAGCCAGAACCATGCGTTGAGGTGAGTCCAACTATTTCTAGCCGGAATCTCTCAACCTCACACACCAACTCAGGCTCTTTCCCCACCAGAGAGGTGACATTCCACATTCCAATAGCCAGCTTTTGTAGCTGAGGATCAGACCTCCATGGTCCCTGACCTCGGCCACCACCCATCCCACATTGCACCTGACCCCTTTAGCCCCTCCCACAGGTGGTGAGCCCATGGAAAGGGGGACCCATGTCAACTCTTCGGGCTGTTCCCGGCCGGGCTCCATGGGTAAAAGTCCGGCCACCAAGCGCTCGACAGAGTGCCCCACCTCCAGGCCCGGCTCCAGATTGGGGCCCAGTGACCCACGTCTGAACGAGGTTCACAAACTAGGAATTTGCTTCGACATAAGGTGTGAATAGTAATAAAGTAAAATAAAGTAAAAATAAAGTAAAAATGAGAACATTACATAAGACATAAGACCTGTGTACACCCACAAATAAAGTAAAATTAAAAACATAACATAAACATGTGTACACCCATACAATAGAAACAATAAAAAAGCTTAGAAAACTGTACAGATGGAGTATTCAATTATAATACAGATGTAATGTGACCAAAGCAGAAATTATGAGGTAGCATTATGAGTGTTCAGGAGTCCAACAGCAGAGGGGAAGAAACTGTTCTTATGGCGGGAGGTTCTTGTCTGAATGGACCGAAGCCTCCTGCCTGAGGGGAGTGGTTCGAACAGTCCGTGTGCAGGGTGAGCAGGGTCAGCTGTGATCCGACCTGCTCGCCTTACAGTCCTGGAGACGTACAGGTCGTGGAGGGATGGAAGGCTGCAGCCGATCACCTTCTCAGCTGAGCGCACAACGCGCTGCACTCTCAGTCTGTCCCTGGCAGTGGCCCCGGCGTACCACACCGTGATGGAGGAGCTGAGGATGGACTCGATGATGGCCGTGTAGAACTGCACCATCAGCTTGGCCGGCAGCTTGGCCTTCTTCAGCTGTCGCAGGAAGTACAGTCTCTGCTGGGCCTTCTTGATGAGGGAGCTGATGGTCAGCTCCCACTTGAGGTCCTGGGTGATGGTGCTGCCAAGGAACCGATAAGAGTTTGCAGTGGTGATGGGGGTATCATTACAGGTGGGGGGGGG